TCACCACCACCACCACCACCATCACCACCACCATAGCCACCACCACCACCACCACCACCACCACCACCACCACCACCACCATCACCACCATCACAACCATCACCACCACAACCACCAGCCACTACTTGTTCAAGCCAAATTTTATAGTGGAGAACTTCCTGTGAAATTTAGATTTGTATGTTCATAAAAATGTTTTTTGAAAGATACTGTTTTAGAAAGTAATACAGTTTGCTTCTCTGTGTAGGAATAAATGGTATGAATCATGCATGACTAAAAAGTTGGCGGGGGGGGGGCGGGGGGGGGAAGGTGGGGAAGGCTGATTCTACCCGAGACACACAAAAAAGCAGGTTCAAGATAAAAAGAAGTTTGATATCTAACTTCTATTTAAGGAAAGTATTTTCATTTTGAAAGTAAATGAAAAATAGCCTGCTGTGGAAAGAAAAAAAGAAAGGGAAAGTGTCATGGAAGAGAATACTGGAAGAGCAAGAAGCAGGAGTAGAAGCTGTATAGGGGGCTGGTTTTCAGATGGGAGGTAAACTAGACCTGTGAATGGTGTCTGCAGGGCATGGCATGCACCCTGGGACCAAATTCAAAGCCAGTTGTTTATTTTTGTTAACTCCTAGGTAATCCTAGGTAACAAAGAGTTATTGTGTGAATTTCACAAGCCCTTGGGTCCTGAGGGCTGGGTGGTGCAGGGGTTAAAAGCACCCCCCCCCCCCCCCACACACACACACACACATACACACCAAGCTGGGCCTAAGCCTGGTTAGATCACAGATTGCAGAGCTTAGGGGGTTGGACTCATGGTTTCGAGTCCCTACATGCTGACTGGGTGCTGGGTGGGGAGAGCTCTCCTTGTTTGGCTGTGGGTGCTTGGGGCCCCACACTTGGCTGTGGGAACAGAGCCACCTTGGAGGGAAGGGGAAGGAAGGGAAGTGGGGCAGCAGAGCGGAGGGTGGGGCTGAGTAGCCAAGGGCTGTTGGCCTTGGAATCTGTTTAGTTCTCTCTCTTCCACTTGATCCTCCCAAGGGCAGGGAGTCTGATTTGAGGGGTGGGAAACTAAGAGCCTGATATGGAAGAACCCCGGGTCTTCCTTGCTTGCTGCAAAGGGAGGGTGCCTAGGTTGCTGGTGCTCATGCTGGCAGGGCCAGTTTAGGAGTGACCAGAACAAGGTATGTGGAAGTGGGTGGTGGGGTTCCAGAAAGCTCTAGCACCAAACTGACCCCCACCCCACTCAGCTGCCTGAGCCAGGCTTTCAGAGCACTAGGCACTTGTGGCCTCTCTGCTGGTGGGCACAGTCACAGTCCTTAAAACAGCCCCCTCCTGCTTTCCTCTATCCTGGCCCCCACCTTGGCCTGGGGTAAGACCTGGATTCTGGATTCTGGATTCCGACTTTCCCCTGGATTCCCTTCTGGGTGTTTGATGTGGTTAGTCATCATGCTAGGTAGCCAGTCAAGCCTGGTAGTAATGAAGACTCACATTCACGTTCATTCATGTTGGACCTGATAGTTTACAGAGGGCTTTTATATCCGTCTGTCATTTGAGCCTCACAATTCTTTAAGGTGCTATTTTTATGTTCATTTTACAGATAGGAAACCCCAGGCTGTCCCAGAGCCAGGAGCTAGTGTACAGTAGAGCCAGGGGCCAGCTCTCTTGTTCTTCTAAATCCTGAGGCTTTGATCATGTGACTTTTTAATCACCTGACAAACTAGAAATGGGGTCATTCCTTCCCATACAATAAAAAGAAATAAAACATAAAAAGAAATAAAATAAAAGCCAGTAGGTGAGCTCATAGCTCATTTTAACTGTTTTGATGCCCCGAGTTCCTGTGCATGGGGCCAGGTCTCAGTTTATTGCTCTAAATCAAAACAATCCCCAGGATTGCCCAATGAGGCTCTCAAATTGAGAAGTTGATTTTCATCAGAGTAAATGAAGAATATTATTACATTTTACAAGTCAATAAATCAATGTAGCCCTAATTTTGCCACGCAGGAAATCAATTCTGGTCTTTCTAAACCATCAAAGATGTTATGAACAAAGTAATTTCACAAATTATGGCAAGTAACACATTTATTGATGACTGCAGTTTAGGAATTTAGAATCTGTGAGCACTGTAATATAATATGGTGCACGGGCATGAGCTGAGTGAAATACAGATTATGTGGGGAAGCCGTAATGCATCATTTGCTATTAGTGGACTGGTAATAATTACCAGTTTCAAAGCAGCTCTTTTCATGTAATCTTTAGTCTCAATCGTAACAGCCCTTCTCATTGACATTATGATTACACTAGCTGCCCTCGTGATCTAGAATATCTAGTTGATGGGAATACTAAAACGCAGTAGCGAAAACTGTATGTTGTATGCTCATTAGAAGATAAAATGCCATTTTCTCTGACCTGATGTATGGGAGAGAGGGGAAGGTAACAGCACAGTGTTAACATGATCACAACGCTGGCTCTGAAAGCAAAATTTTAGGAAGCTCAGGGCAGCAAAACAAAATGGGCTTTTCTCAGTGAAGCCTTTTTGATAGGATACAGAGGGGGGCTTCTTGAAGTAGTGCTATACAGATCTCGGCGTTTATCAGTGGCCACGTTCATGGCACAGGGGTCCAAGTGCTGGGTTTCAATAGAATAGTGTAAGGTAAAATATGGTTTTAAGGCTTTTGGAGCGATGAAAGTGTTAAGGACTTGCTTCAGCTGACAAATCCTCTATTTTACTTACCCAATTCAGATTGTCAGGCTAAATGTATGATAATAACATGGAGTCCTAGAGAGGCAAAGGAGAAAGCCACAGAGGGTCACCGTAGTTGGAACCAGATCGGGTATTTTTTCCTATCTGTTTAGGACCCAAGTAAAAAAAAAATTATGAAAATACTCTCAATGATGCTTTTTATTTCCCTTTGAAGAGAGGAGGCAAACAAAAATAGGCAGATAATGTGATACTAATGTCAGCGTTTTCTTTCAAAATCTTTCTGCCTTTTTTTCTCCCTCCACATTAGGCAAATGTTTAAAACCTAATTTTGGTATCTTATCATCTAATCTTGTTAAAGAGATTTACCCAGGAGTGGGATATAGTGAGTGAGATTATAAATGCATTGTAAAGTAAATGGCAAGGTCAGGGCAGGGAGTCCATTATTCAGACAAGTGCTTGTGCGAAGGCTGGCTTGTTTTGGAACAGGAGTGTGTGGGGCTTCTGAGAAGACCCGGCCAAGCTTTTCTTTCTGACTTGCTAAATGGAGGAATCATAATTGATTAATTCCTCATTCCCACCCTAGCCCATGTATGAATTTTTTTCCTTATTAAGAAGCTACTAGCCAATGCTTTCAGGAACTCCTCTGGCCCCTCTTTGAAGAGAGGGGCTAAAGTTTGTTCTTTCTCCTTTGTGTTTTATACACTGTCTTTTTTGGAATCCCTGGGAAATTTTCTTTTTTTCTCCTCCTGTCTTTTGCCCACCAACATGTGTGCCCTCTTTAATACTGCAGTTGACTGGTAAACTGTTAGTTACTCCCTTGGCGTGTATATGTTGTTGTTGTTGTTTTTAAATTTAGCTATCTCCAAAAATGAATGATCGTGAAGTCAAGCTGGCCCCTTTTTGCCAAAGTGGCATTTACCACTCTCGGGTTCTTTTCAACGAGAGAGAAATAATGTGACTTAAGCAGGGCCCCTCTCCAGACGGCTTGGCTACTAGCCAAAGAGTTGACTAGCTGAACTGTGTCTTTCTGTTTCTTTCTCAACTGGAGCTGAGGCTCAGCCGAGGGCGCAGGATGTTGTACAATTTGGTTCACGTTGTTAGCCTCTCAAAATAATGAGGAGGAGGATAGTGTAGCATTTCTCAGCCTGCTGCTGGTCATGGTGCTGGCTGCTTTAACTGTTATTAAACTAGGATGCGGTGTCTGCGTAAGTTGGCACCAGCCTCTCCCCCTAACTCTAGGCTTGCATTTGTTTGACGGGGGCACAACTCCTCAAGGTTTGACATGGCCTTTTGTTTAAAACCGAATTAAATTGATCTTTTGAGATTTTTTTCACAACATCCCTTGAGATAAAAAAAAATGAGAGTCCTCCTGGGGCACTGTGGAATCAGAATTGGGACTCACTGACCCTCACGCAGGCTGGGATGTGAGAATGTTGCGAGTCTCTCTTCCATGGAATTATTTTTGAGAACCTTCTCATTTTTTAATAATATCAACAATTAGTGCATTTCAGGCTAAGATTAAAAGCATCTCTGGGGCCACAGAGAATTGTCATGAGTTGACCTTCTCTTTTTTGATATCTCCATGAAATGATTGCCTGTTTAGAAAGTTCACCTGCCACCCAGGGGGGAGTGAGAACGATGGGATTTAGGGAGCAGGAAAGTTTCCCGTAGGTCATCTTGTCCAAGTCCCTCACTTAACAAATGAGAAAACGGGCACGAGGTGAAATGGCTTCCCCAAACCACAGCTGGTGACAGACTGGAAAGTTCAGAAGACGTTGCTAAGGTTCTCTAGACTGTAGGGATTGAATTGGTCTAGATCAGTGGTTCTCAACCTTCCTAAGGCTGCGACCCTTTAATACAGTTCCTCATGTTGTGGTGACCCCCAATTTCATTGTTACAAATTGAACATAATTAAAGCATAGTGATTAATCACAAAAACAATATGTAATTATATATATGTGTTTTCCGATGGTCTTAGGTGACCCCTGTGAAAGGGCCGTTCTACCCTCAAAGGGGTAGTGACCCACAGGTTGAGAACCGCTGGTCTAGATTTTTCTGCTTTGGCGCTGGTCTAGATTTTTCTGCTTTGGAGACTAGATTTAAAATTCCTAGAACTGAGTTAAATGGCAGGAAGACTGATTCGACAAGTATTTAGTATTGGGCACCAACCACTGGATATGCCAGGAGGGTTGAGGCCTTGGGATTGGGAGCTGGGGGCAGGGAAGGCTGGAGGTGGAACATAAATAAGCGATTGCTGATACCCTCCTCGGTGATTAAACATTGATGTTGGTGTTGTATTATTTTGCAGGTAAAGATGAGCCCAGCAGCTACACATGTACAACTTGCAAACAGCCATTCACCAGTGCATGGTTTCTCTTGCAACACGCACAGAACACTCATGGATTAAGAATCTACTTAGAAAGCGAACACGGAAGTCCCCTGACCCCGCGGGTTGGTATCCCTTCAGGACTAGGTGCAGAATGTCCTTCCCAGCCACCTCTCCATGGGATCCATATTGCAGACAATAACCCCTTTAACCTGCTAAGAATACCAGGATCAGTATCCAGAGAGGCTTCCGGCCTGGCAGAAGGGCGCTTTCCACCCACTCCCCCCCTGTTTAGTCCACCACCGAGACATCACTTGGACCCCCACCGCATAGAGCGCCTGGGGGCGGAAGAGATGGCCCTGGCCACCCATCACCCGAGTGCCTTTGACAGGGTGCTGCGGTTGAACCCAATGGCTATGGAGCCTCCCGCCATGGATTTCTCTAGGAGACTTAGAGAGCTGGCAGGGAACACGTCTAGCCCACCGCTGTCCCCAGGCCGGCCCAGCCCTATGCAAAGGTTACTGCAACCATTCCAGCCAGGTAGCAAGCCGCCCTTCCTGGCGACGCCCCCCCTCCCTCCTCTGCAGTCCGCCCCTCCTCCCTCCCAGCCCCCGGTCAAGTCCAAGTCATGCGAGTTCTGCGGCAAGACGTTCAAATTTCAGAGCAACCTGGTGGTGCACCGGCGCAGCCACACGGGCGAGAAGCCCTACAAGTGCAACCTGTGCGACCACGCGTGCACGCAGGCCAGCAAGCTGAAGCGCCACATGAAGACGCACATGCACAAGTCGTCCCCCATGACGGTCAAGTCCGACGACGGCCTCTCCACCGCCAGCTCCCCGGAACCTGGCACCAGCGACCTGGTGGGCAGTGCGAGCAGCGCGCTCAAGTCCGTGGTGGCCAAGTTCAAGAGCGAGAATGACCCCGGCCTGATCCCGGAGAACGGGGACGAGGAGGAAGAGGAGGACGACGAGGAAGAGGAAGAAGAGGAGGAAGAGGAGGAGGAGGAGCTGACCGAGAGCGAGAGGGTGGACTACGGCTTCGGGCTGAGCCTGGAGGCGGCGCGCCACCACGAGAACAGCTCGCGGGGCGCCGTGGTGGGCGTGGGCGACGAGGGCCGGGCCCTGCCCGACGTCATGCAGGGCATGGTGCTCAGCTCTATGCAGCACTTCAGCGAGGCCTTCCACCAGGTCCTGGGCGAGAAGCATAAGCGTGGCCACCTGGCCGAGGCCGAGGGCCACAGGGACACTTGTGACGAAGACTCGGTGGCCGGCGAGTCGGACCGCATAGACGATGGCACTGTTAACGGCCGCGGCTGCTCCCCGGGCGAGTCGGCCTCCGGGGGCCTGTCCAAAAAGCTGCTGCTGGGCAGCCCCAGCTCGCTGAGCCCCTTCTCCAAGCGCATCAAGCTCGAGAAGGAGTTCGACCTGCCCCCAGCCGCGATGCCCAACACCGAGAACGTGTATTCGCAGTGGCTCGCTGGCTACGCGGCCTCCAGGCAGCTCAAAGATCCCTTCCTTAGCTTCGGAGACTCCAGACAATCGCCTTTCGCCTCCTCGTCTGAGCACTCCTCGGAGAACGGGAGCTTGCGCTTCTCCACGCCACCCGGGGAGCTGGACGGAGGGATCTCGGGGCGCAGCGGCACGGGAAGTGGAGGGAGCACGCCCCATATTAGTGGTCCGGGCCCGGGCAGGCCCAGCTCAAAAGAGGGCAGACGCAGCGACACTTGTGAGTACTGTGGGAAAGTCTTCAAGAACTGTAGCAATCTCACTGTCCACAGGAGAAGCCACACGGGCGAAAGGCCTTATAAATGCGAGCTGTGCAACTATGCCTGTGCCCAGAGTAGCAAGCTCACCAGGCACATGAAAACGCATGGCCAGGTGGGGAAGGACGTTTACAAATGTGAAATTTGTAAGATGCCTTTTAGCGTGTACAGTACCCTGGAGAAACACATGAAAAAATGGCACAGTGATCGAGTGTTGAATAATGATATAAAAACTGAATAGAGGTATATTAATACCCCCCCCCTCACTCCCACTTGACACCTCCTTTTTTCATCACCCCCTTCCCCATCGCCCTCCAGCCCCACTCCCAGTAGGATTTTTTTTCTAGTCCCATGTGATTTAAACAAGCAAGCAAGCAAGCAAACAAACAGAAGTAACGGAAGCTAAGAATATGAGAGTGCTTGTCACCAGCACACCTATTTTTTTTTTCTTTTTCTTTTTTCTTTTTCTTTTTTTCCTTTATGTTCTCACCGTTTGAATGCATGATCTGTATGGGGCAATACTATTGCATTTTACGCAAACTTTGAGCCTTTCTCTTGTGCAATAATTTACATGTTGTGTATGTTTTTTTTTTTTTAAACTTAGACAGCATGTATGGTATGTAATGGCTATTTTAAATTGTCCCCGATTCGTTGTTGAGCAAAAATGTTGCTGTTTCCAGTTCCGTTCTGAGAGAAAAAGAGAGAGAGAGAGAGAAAAAGACCATGCTGCATACATTCTGTAATACATATCATGTACAGTTTTATTTTATAATGTGAGGAGGAAAAACAGTCTTTGGATTAACCCTCTATAGACAGAATAGGTAGTGCTGACAGAAAATCTCTATGAGCTAAATGTCTGTCTCTAAAGGGTTAAATGTATTAATTGGAGAGGGAAAAAAAGGCCTTGAATTGACAAATTAACAGAAAAACAAAACAAGTTTATTCTATCATTTGGTTTTAAAATATGAGTGCCTTGGATCTATTAAAACCACGTTGATGGTTCTTTCTACTTGTAATAAACTTGTAGCTTAATTCAGCATTGGGTGAGGTAATAAACCTTAGGACCTAACATATAATTCTTTCTTGTATTTCTCACAACAATGGCTACCTAAAAATATGACCCATTATGTCCTAGTTAATCATCATTTTCCCTTTAGTTTAATCTTGTAAGCAAAACTGATTATACCAGTATAAAAGCTATTTTGCTCCTGGTGAGAGCTTAAAAGAAATGGGCTGTTTTGCCCAAAGTTTTTGTTTTGTTTTGTTTTGTTTTGTTTTTTTAAATGATGATTACATTGAATGTGTAATGTGCAAAGCCCTGGAATATAATTAAATACACGAGTAAGGAATTCATTTCATGAAGATACTTGTTTTAAATAATGTCTTTTAAAAAAAATTCTGGCCCCAGAAGAAATAGATCCAGATCCACTTGGTTGTCAAAAGGACAATCACACAATAAACTTCAAGACCTCGTATACCATATTAAAAAGAAGAGGCTGACCATAAGGTTTGACAGAGGATAACAGAGGGGAAAAAAAGTGATTTATTAGCACAATGTGGTACTATTTGCCATTTTAAACTAGAACAGGTGTATAAGCTAATATTGATACAATGATGATTATGAATTCTTAAGATGCGTTGAAATGTGACATTCTTAAAAAAGAAGAGAAAGAGTTTTAAGAGTAGCAGTATATATGTCTGTGCTCCCTAAAAGTTGTACTTCATTTCTTTTCCATACACTGTGTGCTATTTGTGTTAACATGGAAGAGGACTCATTGTTTTTATTTTATTTTTAAATTTTTTCTTTCTTTTTTATTAAGCTAGCATCTGCCCCAGTTGGTGTTCAAATAGCACTTGACTCTGCCTGTAATATCTGTATCTTTTCTCTAATCAGAGATACAGAGGTTGAGTATAAAATAAAACTGCTCAGATAGGACAATTACGTGCACTGTACAATTTTCCCAGTTTACAGGTCTATACTTAAGGGAAAAGTTACAAGAATGCTGAAAAAAAATAAAATTGAACACAATCTCATTGATGAGCATTTTTTAGAAAACTAAAAAAAAAAAAAAACCTTTGCCAGCCATTTACTTGACTAATGAGCTTACTTACTTGGACTCAACATTGCAAGCGCTGTGAATGGAAAACAGAATACACTTAACATAGAAATGAATGATTGCTTTCGCTTCTACAGTGCAAGGATTTTTTTTGTACAAAACTTTTTTAAATATAAATGTTAAGAAAAAAATTTTTAAAAAACACTTCATTATGTTTAGGGGGGACTGCATTTTAGGGTTCTATTGTCTTGGTGGTGTTACAAGACTTGTTATCCATTTAAAAATGGTAGTGGAAATTCTATGCCTTGGATACACACCGCTCTTCAGGTTGTAAAAAAAACAAACAAACATACATTGGGGAAAGGTTTAAGATTATATAGTACTTAAATATAGGAAAATGCACACTCATGTTGATTCCTATGCTAAAACACATTTATGGTCTTTTTTCTGTATTTCTAGAATGGTATTTGAATTAAATGTTCATCTAGTGTTAGGCACTATAGTATTTATATTGAAGCTTGTATTTTTAACTGTTGCTTGTTCTCTTAAAAGGTATCAGTGTACCTTTTCTGGTAGTGGAAAAAAAAAAGACAGGCTGCCACAGTATATTTTTTTAATTTGGCAGGATAATATAGTACAAATTATTTGTATGCTTCAAAAAAAAAAAAGAGAGAGAGAAAAACAAAAAAGTGTGACATTGTACAAATGAGAAGCCATATAATGGCCGTTTGGGGGAGCCTGCTAGAATGTCACACAGATGGCTGTCATAGGGGTTGTACATATCCTTTTTTGTTCCTTTTTCCTGCTGCCATACTGTATGCAGTACTGCAAGCTAATAACGTTGGTTTGTTATGTAGTGTGCTTTTTGTCCCTTTCCTTCTATCACCCTTACATTCCAGCATCTTATCTTCATATGCAGTAAAAGAAAGAAAGAAAAAAAAAGGAAAAAAAAAACACCCCACAATGTTTTGCAGTTTTTTTCATTGCCAAAAACTAAATGGTGCTTTATATTTAGATTGGAAAGAATTTCATATGCAAAGCATATTAAAGAGAAAGCCCGCTTTAGTCAATACTTTTTTGTAAATGGCAATGCAGAATATTTTGTTATTGGCCTTTTCTATTCCTGTAATGAAAGCTGTTTGTCGTAACTTGAAATTTTATCTTTTACTATGGGAGTCACTATTTATTATTGCTTATGTGCCCTGTTCAAAACAGAGGCACTTAATTAGATCTTTTATTTTTCTTTGTTTTTATTTTTTTTTATTTGGATGACCAAAGGTCATTACAACCTGGCTTTTTATTGTATTTGTTTCTGGTCTTTGTTAAGTTCTATTGGAAAAACCACTGTCTGTGTTTTTTTTGGCAGTTGTCTGCATTAACCTGTTCATACACCCATTTTGTCCCTTTATTGAAAAAAAATAAAAAAATTAAAGTACACAATGTAAGCTTCTTGTGTCCTCATTTGACACACTCTATAAATTACTTTCAAGAAAATAACAAGTTTTAAGAGAAGGCCAGTCAGTCTTTTTCAGGATTATTTCTATGGGCATTTTGATGCATGTATTATACCCTAAAGGAACATAAGATACTTACTATATTAAAATAGATCTATCTCAAACTATGGAAATAGTTTTTAGATTTTATAGTTCTAGAATAATTTTCAAGAAATAGAAGGTGTTTTCAGTCTGATATTAAAAACTTTCCCTTTATCTCCTCACAGTAATCCATTCAGATATAAAGAAAAAAACATAGTGGTAATAGCATCTTAAGCTTTGATTTCCATTAGATTTTTTTGCTGTTCTTATTGTCTAAAAGTTCTTTTCTATTCTCCCATTCTCATCCTACCTTAGAGCATAATGTAAAGAAGGTGTTTTGTTCTTTTAAAAAAGGAATTAGCTTTTTTGTTCCCACATAAAGTCTTTCCTCATGTCAAAAATGAACACACCTCCCAAATCTAAAAATCCTGAAATGAAGGCATCAGGTGAAAAAGAGAGAGAGAGAGAGAATAGAATGAAAGCAGTAACCAGATGTAGCCAAATCTGTGGAATCAGCCACTGATGTTCTGAGATGTGTGGTGGTTTGCCTTGTGATTCTGAGATGCTAGGGTCCCTCGACGGGACAGATCTTTTAGGCACTTTTATAGGGTCTTCCTGGCTGATAGCAAATTAGGGTGGGAACACCTTTCAATTAATTATCTTTTGGTCAATCAACAGATTTATGAAATGAAACATCATCTTTGAAAAGCAAGTTAGGTCTATTTTTAAGCCACCCCCCCCCCCCCAGCCCCTTAGAAATCTATGTTGTCAGTTTTACAAATACTGCAAGTTGCAGCATCTATTTGCTTTATTACAACACATATTTCTGTGATACCCGTCTCCCCATTCCCAGTGTAGATGAATGGACACAACATTGTTTTTATTCTTGTAAAAACCAAAACAAAAGCCGTTCTGTTGTCTTCTCGTGGTAGCATTTTTTCTGTTGCTCAGTTCTTATGCCCTGGTGCCTGTGAGGTGGCCTTTTCATGTAAAGCCTTTTATCTGAGGCAAGAATAGTCTTATCTTTCTAAATAAAGAGAAAGTAGTAGGGTGTTTGTTTGTTTTTTAAAGCCTGTTTGGGTGGGAAGCAGAGAGTGGAGGCAGAGAGAAGTCTAGTAAGAGGGGATTTGGGAGAGATGGGATGGGGTGGGGTGGGATGGGATGGGATGGTGCAAGGCTGGTGACTTGTAGAACTTGATAATTGGCAATGAACCGAGGGCAGATATATGTGTTTTAGATTAGGTTACTTCACAACTGAATCCAGAATGCTGTTCAAGACAGAACTATTCCCCAGTGCCAGGCCAGTTTTAGACGTGGTGACTTCTGCTCCACCATATTAAATGTCTTTAAAACCGCTGTGTGTCCCTATTACTCTTTTATTGGGAGCTATGAGTGCAGCTGTGCACATTTTATATACAGTATTTATATTAATTTCTCAGTATATGAGGCTTTTAGTGTAATTAGGTTTTGCGTCCTGGCAGAATTAATGGTGGATACTGTATACTTGTATGTTCAGATTTCTTAAATCAAATGGCAGATAAGAAGGGATGCAAACATCTGGTGATAAATCACAGATTGTGCTTGATTCACATGATCCCAAAGTGAAATAAATTTATTGGGAGACAGGTTCTTCAGGGTTCTTAGTCTCCTGACTTATCAAGGCCCTCTGCTAAAATACTATTTCTGAAACTGAACAAACAATGGAAGTATGAAAACCTAGACAATAAGAATATAACTTATAAATGACATCTTATATCCAGAACATTAAAATTAAAAATATTAATGCAAAATAACCAAAAAATCCCCCACATTTTCAACAGTAGGATGAATTCACGATATCCTTTTAAAATGAGGGAATACTATGAACATTAACATTTTTCAAAAATTTCAAATAAGGTTATATGACATTCCCAAATGTGTGGATGCACTGTCCTCTATATACCTGAACTGCCAGTTATAAAGAAGGGGCCTTTTTATCTTCATTTTGAGAACAACTTAATAAACAGGAATACAGCAGATGTTATTTCTCACAGACTTTAACCCAGAAACCCAATACAAGGACTATCTCCATCCTGAGACCATTTATTAGCCTCTGTTTAGGACCTACAGGACTGACGAGCCCATCTTAACGGTTGCTAAGAAGTGAGGTTTACACTTGCTTCTTCGTTTGTAACAGCAATGGCAGAAAGTGTGAAGTAGTTGAGTTTTTCCCAGGGCGTTCTGTGACAGAGCTGTTTATTTAAATACCATTTTTGTATATGCAATAAGTACATACTGTATATGTTCATAATGCTAGAAGTGAGAATTTGAAAGGAAGTGGCAGTGAGGGTTAGATATTTCGTTTGGAGAAATAAGGACATGAGGTGGCTTATTCACAGGTACTCCAAGTTTGGGAAAAGGTACTGGGATATTTCAAGCCTTCCTGAAAAGATCCCATCCTGTCCTGTTTCAAACACTTTACTTCTGGAGAGTGAGGGAGGAAATACAGGGTTTTCTATTTTTAAACCCTTCCCCCACTCCCTACACACACACACACACACACAAACATGATTTCTTATGACTGTGCTGTAATCCTGTCTTCTTCCTGATGATGCTGTTACTCTGTTGTCCCCCGGCTAGTGTGTTCAAGAATGTACCCATCCCATTTTCTCTTGTTTTTTGTTTTTTCTTTCCCCCCAGAAAACTTCACTTTTAAAAAAGAAAAATTGTGGGAATTTTGCCGATGTGAGGATGGGATTGGCAGTGTTCTTTAAACTGCTTGGAAAAAAGTGTTTCTTTGAAAGACTGTTAACTTTTAAAAGGCACAAGCCACTTAGCAAAATTTCCCAAGTGTCTCCTAAGGCCCTGAAGCTCCCAATTACAAATAAATGAACTCATTTTTAGAGAAATGGACATCAGAACACACAGGCAGAATTGGGATTACATACATTTATTCCAGGGCTGTGACAGCTACAGACTGTAGACATGGGTTGTTGGGTATCACTTTTTTTTTTTGCTTGCTATCATCTTGTTATCTCATTAACCCACTGTTTCATTTAGCAAAACACATGGCCAGTGAATCAGCCTTTAGGGGGATGGGCCTGTTTCTCTCTCTCTCTCTCTCTATTTCCCAGTGTCATCTATGGTCATAGGATGAGATTAATTCTCCTTTCAAATGGGAAAGAAGACCAATACAGGTCACATGGGTTATTGTACTCCAACCCTAAACTTGGCTGAACACAATGCAGTGGTTGGTCCAAATACTGGTTTTCCTTCCTGTAAAGTGGCAAAGACTACTTAAAGAGAGCATATGTCAGGTCTTTATGAAACAGCAGAAAAGGCAATCTAAGGATTTCTCCAAAGTCTACCCTCTAAACCTACAGGGACCCCTCCCCCCCCACACCTACAGGGGGCTGTGCTTTTAAATAACAGTGAGCATGGTACATGCCCATGCCATACTTTGTCTGTTAGGGTTTGAAATATTGGTAGCAGGTCTGACAAAGGGGTTTGATGGGGGTATCAGCCAAAGGGGCCTCAACGACAATGACTTAGGGCTGGACTGGGAACCGGATTCCCAGAGCCCACCTGGACACAGCAGGCCCCTCAGCCCAGGTCTCCACCACTCAGGATTCCTGAGAGCAGCTGAGCTCCAGACCCTGAGCCTCCTGCGGAGCCAAGTCAGGGGAGAGGAGGCCCCAGGCCCCTGCTTCAGGTCGCCATGGCAACGAGGCCTGGAATGCCACAGTGGTAGCCCTCTTCCTCGGCACATCCACATCCGGACTCCCAGTTCTGCTGCTTCAAGTCAATGTACACAGCCAGGGAGGAACCCCGGAGGAAAATAACTCCCATCTTTCCCTCACCATTGCCTTTCCCCCTTACAAAGAGAAAAAAAAAAGAAAAGAAAGAAAGAAAAGAAAACTGCATGTTTGAAAGAAACTACAGGCAGTTTTTGGTGCAATTTGGGAGCAACTCTGTTGGGTTCTGGTTTTCCTCTTCAGAGATTTGTTCGCCTCTTGTAAATCGTTGGCTGCTTTGACGTTGAACTTGATGACATTTCATGTTTTCGTTGTGCTGCTTTTACATCAATTTTGAATTTTTAGTTTCTTTATAATTTTATTATTATTTTAAGGAAATGTCCCCCTTCCCTCCTTCCTCCCCTGTTCTCCTCAACCAAAGGACTGTTTCCTACTCAAGTTTTCTCAGTCATAAGGGAAAGTGTTTCCTTCCAGGTGTGTCCCCAGTTTATTAGGACTATCATATGATTGGGTAGAGGGTCTGGGTCCTTTGGGGGAAGGCACGGAGGGAGCTCATGGGAAAGGCACTCGGAGGTTAGAGATTGGGGGAGGAGGGGATGGAGTTTGGAAATCATGTTTAAGATGCCAGTGGCTCAACCTGTGGCTGGTTTAAGTTATAAGTGTTAAAAAAAA